AAGTTGCTACAAGGATAAAATGAAAACATGTAAACAATAAAGCACTATGTATACCAGTAGAGGTGGTTGTGTAAAAATTGTACTATTCAGCCATAATGATATAGCTTAACCAAATGGTAACCATGACACATGTATCACTTTAAGCTCCATTTGGTGGATGGAGCCTCACACAGATGTCATCTCTGACCAGATCTTAGCAGCCAGTGTATAAAGCCCGTGGGAGACAGGGCCTGTGGTTTATTGTAATCCTCAGATGTCTGACCCTAGTGACCTTATTAATCCTTCTCTGTGGGAATGGAGGAAGGTGTGTGTTCTTGTGTTTGTCCTCATTTTACTCTCTCAAGGCTATGTGTTAATTCTATTTGAGGGAGGAAAGATGGGGAGAGGTCAGAGGGGTCTGGGGTCTCTGAGGAGGAGAGAAGAGTTTTCCAAGCGGGGGAGGATTGGAGGAATTCAAACATATCAAACTCATGATGCATCCCGCCGGCCACGAGTTTGACAGGCTTGGATGAGATCATGGTTGATTGGAGCATTCAGTTTTTGAGCATTGCTTCTGGTTTGAGGAAAACGGGATGAGGAATGTAGGAAAAATGAGGGATGATGGAAATAGACATGAAGTGAGGAAAATCACCTCTTAGTTGGAAAGTTCAAGCTCCAAGAGTGAGTGAGAGCTCAGGAATGTGAAGCCAGCTCATAGAGAAATAGTGTGGCCAGCTCCTAGAGAAATAGTGTGAACAATAGCATTATCTTTGGGGTGTGGGAAGGGAAGAGAGCTGAAGGAGAGGGCAGGATTCCTATGGGGACAATTGTGAGGATTCTGGCAGCCAGAGACCTGGCTGGCTTCACACGGTAAAGAAGGGTGAAGATGGGACTTGTGCCTCACTTCCTGGCCCTCACTCTTAAATACCCCTCTGTTTTTGGCTCTGGTCCCTGATCCCTAAACTGATACCCTCTGCTTGTCGCTCCTATCATTGTCTGCTGCTACCCACTAAAAATAAAGCCAGAAAGAGATGCTCATTATTGGCTCATATGAGCCAAGGGAGCTCTAGGACAGCACTGGCCTAACCCGACAGGAGTTGAACTCACATTTTTTCCCTGGAGACCCCAAGTCCTTCCCTTTCCCCTGTAGCCCAAACTTCACTGGTGGCCTCAGTGATGGCGGGAATGTCCTTTTGGTATCTGTTGGTTCCTGACTGTCCAGGCTACTCTGCTTCTGTCAGAGGGGGGCAGTCATAGCTGCAACAAACTATACACAGGTCCTGCCTATCTCAAGGGTGTAGTGATAAGACTTGCCTTTTTTGGTGTAGCAGAGGCAAAGTTGGAATTTTGAAATATTGTTTTTACCAACTAGAGGAAAAACTATCAATGAAAGTACAAGAAATCTTTCTGCAGTTTTTAAATTTTCTCTGGTAGGCCCCAGGACAGGCCTCTGTGTGACATGGCAACTTGTGTGACCAGTAGACAACACGTGTGGCTCCAGACGGGTCCATCTCGACTGATGCAAAACACCAGGTCCTTGTTGAGGTGGGGAACGGCAAGCAATAGGGAAGGTCTAGTTTCCTGAGGGCGTTAGATGGGGCCAGGGGTCAGGTTAAGAGGGCTGCTCCAGGCCCTGTGGAGAAATAAGTGCAAGCCAAGAACTCTTCCTCTCTTTTCTTTCCCCTTGGTTCCCAGCCCATGGGACTGGGGTTTAGGGATACAGATGCATCTTGGCCCTGCCCATTGGTGGGTGTGGCACTCCTCATTTATAAAAGAGTTGGCACTCCGAGACTTGGCAGTGCTGGACCACAACCTAAAGGCTTTCACCACCTGCAGCTGGAACCATGATTGGGGCAGGAAGAGTCAGCAACTGATGCTGGATCCAAAGACCAACATCTCACCCTCAGGTTCAAGCAAGTCCTTTGAGTTGAGGCTGGCAATAAAGTCCTTCCCAGACTGAGGTTCACACTAGGCACTCTCTGAGGGGTAAGTGTTGAGGAAGCTGGTTAGATCTCTCTGGTGAGAGGCTGAGGCAGAGAGCTCCTGGGAAAAGCTCAGGCCTGCATAGGCATATGTTCTATCTGTCAAGTGAGGGGCTCCAATTAGCCTAACATGGAGTTCCCAGAATTCTCCCCTGCAAGCCCAGGAAAGCAAACAGTCAACACACATTTTTAGTAATCTCCTTTCAAGACATGCTTACTCACATATGATAGGTAAGCTCCTGTTCCTTCCTCTATAAGAAACAAGGAGGCAGAAGTGGCCCTTGCCTGAGGTGAGAGTGGGGATGGCTGTTTTAGTCTTTGAGTGATGTAGACCTATGCTCTTTCCACGCAGTCACTCAGAAGTGACACAAGTTCTGTGGAATGGAGGGGTGGATGCTGGAGATAGTCAGGGCCTGAGGATGGGGGTGAAGAGTCTTTGGTGTGAAAGGATGGAGCTGCCTGCCCATTTGCTGAGTGGTTCGGAGAATGAGCCAGCAGCAGCAATCAGGGGAACCAGACTCTTCTGTCCTTTGCTGGGAGCCACATGAGTCCCATGAATTCATATTCAATTCTAGGAAGAAAGACGGCCACCCACAAAATGCCTGAGATAAAATATTTTCCTTCTGAAGTGACTGGGAGTTCAGGTTAAATTGATGAACAGAAATAAAGTAATTTTTTTTGGACTCTGTGAGTTTGTAGAGAAACATTCATGTCTAATGTAACTAATTCAGCATTTCTAAAATTAGCTGAGCCTGGATGTCTGCATTATGAACTGGCCTATAGACTGAGGGAACAGAACTAGCTGTAGAAGGGTAGAGTTGAATGGCTACTTCTAAAGTGAAGAAGCCATTTCTCCTAAGGTAGCTTCTCCCAATACATAGCCACCAAATTAATCTTTTATCACACTTAAAACCTATAGCCTGTGCCCTTACCAGTTTGGCTCAGTGGATAGAGCATTGGCTGGGAATGAAGGGTACC